CTTGCATCCCCTCCTGCAGAGAGGGCAGCTCCAGGGCCTGGCCCTGGGCTGGAGTGCCGGGGGCACCCGGGAGGTGAGGCGGGCAACTGCTGCCACACCTGCCGCCAGCCCCCTGCTCCCAGGCTGACACACGCAGGCCCTCGGCGAGACGCCCTCTCCCCCAGCCACCGTCCCAGGGAGCCGTGCTCTGCAGCAGAGGAGTCTGGCGGTGGAGCGCAGGCACGGCCCGCACACACCCACCCCGACGGGGCTCTGGGGTCCTGGCCAGCGTGTCCCTGTGGCCTCAGCAGCGAGGGGCACGCGGTGTACTGCCAGGCCTCTGCCAGAGCAGGATGTCGAGCCTAATAACAGCACTGGGGGACCTGGTGGAAAAAGGGGTGCCCGGGAGCTCTGCAAGCCCCTCTGTGGGCTCCAGTGCCCAGATTCTGTCCAGGTCATGCTGTCGGCACCTTTGGTTTTGTCGTTGCTTTTCTGGCACTTGCCCAATGATCTGTCTCTCCCTGGCAACAGAACGACTAAATAGCTGCTCGCAGCTGAGGCACTGGGGAGCCGAGACCACAGAAATGCCAGGGACCTGCTCCACGGGGCCTCCAGCTCCTCAGGCCTCCTCTGACATGGGCTTCGGCCTGAGCCCTGCCTCCCCCGCCCTCCAACCCTGCCGCCGTGGCTGCAGTGTGCCGGGTGGGTACCACCGCTGTCTTCACGCCTGTATTTCCTCCAGCAGCTGCTCTTGGCGCTGAAACACCTCTCCCACTGGCCTCAGACCCTGCTGCTGTTTTCTTGAGCAGGCAGACGGGACAGAAAACAGCAAGCTGTTCCTTTGGGTGTACTGTCAGGTTAGCTGCCTTCCCCTGCCTTATCGCTGCGCCTACAACTGCAGCGCGGGTCACTTGTGCGAAGGAACAAATGCTGATGGCAGAAATCCCTTCCTTCTGGCTCCCCATCTGCAGAGGAAGCGCTGGGGCCACTACCAGATCTCCGCGGGCTTCTGCAGCCCTGTGGCATCTGTGCAGGGGTGGCACATGTCACCCCC